AGAACATCGTTGATTATCCTCTGAGACGGCCAGAGCATCAATGAATTGTTAGATGAAAAGTTCAGTGTATTGAGTGGCCAGAATACTGTCAGGTTGACCAGGCCTAGAGAGGAGAATGATTAGGGTTCTCAATCAAAGCGTCCGGTTCAAAAACCTTACCGCAAGGCAGCGGGGTTTTGACACTGGACTACAGAGAGGCCATTTTATGGAGTAAGAAGCCACCCTCACTCCAAGCCCTAACCTGGAGCACAAAAAGGCTGAGTTTGTCAGGCCTCTAACCATTGACCAATCTAGTAGAAGTGGCCCTGAAGGTGCAAAAAGCACCACACAGCATAGCTCAATGGATCACTGAGGCCCACAAAACCATCGCATCACGTTAAGGTCCAGTCTCGTTTCAGGACACAAACAAACCGTCCATCTTGGATCTCGTTTTTGCAAACGTGGAACTCATGATCGAGGTAGTAACAATGTGCACTCCTTTGGGCCGCAGTGTGTAGCGCGTCGGAGTGTCGCTATAGCAAACCAACAAGTAAGATGTCGTTGACAGTAGCCTATATTGTAATCGTCGTTGCTTCTCTTTGCTTTCCCATTTCCTTTTCGGTGTTGTTGGAGTAGCCACCTGTCGTGCGTTTTCACGCCCTTCATCTAGTTGCCTCGCGTTCGGCCCTCTATCGGCAGCGGTGACAGTAGCGCTGCCATGAGATGTGACACAATCACGCCGTACATCCAGCTTCAGCACTTACTAGGTGGTTTTCCAGCCGACCACAAAGTATCTTTACCTTTCAGCCCCCTCGGTCTAATACGAACACGTATGCCCTGGACACAAAAGCCCTCGGAACCGTCGACCAGACGCATGCTACAGTATTGTTCCAACGCTTATGCTATGCAGAGTATCCTAAAGAATATACCGAGGAATCTTACATCGAAAACAAATATGATAGTGTATCCGGACTCATTTGTGCAATAAGCTTCTTTCTTAAAAGAATGGTCCCCTGAGGTGAAATGAGGGGAATTTGTCAACACATTCAACAAATTCGTGACAAGCACATCTGAAACCGAAATCCACCGACCTAAAAAGATGAAGTCGTTTTTAAGCAGCAGGACTCGGAAATGCATGGCATTGAGGGACTTGGTATGGCTCACCCACATAGCCTCTCCGAGCGAAGACACTTGGGACGTCTAAACACAAAAGAACCACTGTGTCAAACTCGTCTGGGAGGATAAAGTAAAGAAGATTGTGGCAAAATTGTGCTCTAACTCCAAGCTGCTATAAAGACAGGTAAACAAAGTTCGCTCGGTTAATCGAGGAATTCATGCTCTGTACACAGCATGAGGTTTGGCACAAATGGCACAAGAGTCGGCTAATGTTCTTGGATAACAAGTTGGTAGTAAATAGTTTTATTATCGTTGAAAGGAGATTTACTGGTACAGGCATGATCAAGTGTATAATCATTCTACAACATGCCCACGCAAACCATGCTGCCATCAGGACTTAACCACATACCTTTCACAACAGCAGCTGTACTGAAACGGCTGATGTCGTTACGCGAATACAGTACTCCGGGTGCGGACGGCATTCGCCCGAAGGTGTTGAAAGTTGCTGCTAGAAATTTAGCTGAACCGTTAGCAATATTCTTTCAGTGATGTCTTAACGAGATGCACGTCTCCACAATGCGGAAGCACAGGACCATCACTGCAATCTACAAACGTGGTATATGTGCAGAAGCAGCAAACTATCGCCCGAGGATACTTCTTCCGGTGATTGCCAAGATCATGATGTCCATTGCAGTACCTAGAGAGTAACAACATTCTCGTTCCTTAGCAGCATGGATTTCACCACTAATCTGTTAATAGCTTGTGCAAGCTGGACGGAATGTGTGGGTAAAAAAATTATATAAATTGCCAGCTGTACGCCGTAACGGTGCTTCGCTGCCGCGCGACCACCACCAGTCGCGCGCGGACTGAGTATACCGTGAGGACGCCCATCCCTACGCGGATTCCAACCGGTGACCTTATAGTCGCAAACTAGGCGCGTAGACCGCTCGGCCACCAGCCGACCGCCTGGACCATCGCGTTCTGCTGCCCAAACTCCAGAATTATGGCATCGGCGATCCCGTTCTGGGATGGATAGGAGACTTGCCCGTTCAACGTCACTTGAATGTGAGGGTTTGTAGTACCCTATCGGAACCAATGGAAGTTCAGTGCGGCTTACATCAGAGATCGGTATTCGCGCCCATCTGTCTCTAATCTTCGTAAATGATCTCGCAAGCGTGCTGCCCTCAAACTGGATATCATTTGCCGGTGATCTAAAAATGTGGGGTTATCGCGTCAGTGGACGATCGCACAGCCCTACAGAATGACATGGACAAAGTGTACACATAGCCCATCGAGAACATGCTGCGATTCAACACCACCAAGTGCAAAATTCTGAGCATACGCCATCACAGAACTCATAAGTACCGCTTATGACCACAAATTCTACAGCGGCCTTCCCATGAGTGCAATCTTGGCGTGCTCGTCCAGAAGGACCTTGGGTGTTTGACGCAGGCTGAAAAGGCATTAAAGAAAGCAAAACAGCACTTCGGCCTTCTTCGTGGAGCGTCCGGAAAGCTTAATGCCTCAATCTTACTGAAAATGCTTGGCGCGTAGGTGAGGTTGCACGCGGAATATGCTATGCAAGCGTGGTAGTAGCACCACCACACCGCGCTCGATACTGCACAACGCAGGACGATAAGGACCGTCAGAGGTTTGTCCCGCCTGCCCTACGCACCCAGACTGAAAACTCGAAACGTACAGCGGCCGTTATCGGTGTCTACAGGGAGATCTCATAATGGTGTATCAGATTCTGAGAAACCCAAACCACACTTGCCACTTTCTTTTGAAACTCAGTCAAAACCCATCTCTAAGGGGGCTATCAGTTCAAGTTGGACACGCAGTACAGCCAACTGGAATGTCGACGTAAATTTTTCTCCCTCTGAATGTCACAGCTCTGGAACGTTTTTCCGGCGCATGTAATAAATGCCCTACGTAATCTCTTTTCAAAAAACCCCTTGACGATACACTTACACATCTACATAACATGATATAGCCTATGACAATCAGGTGATGGCATTCGTGCACTACAAACAGTGGACGGTGTCGTAACCATCCTAAACTCTTAGCAGGAATTCTCGCAGATGTGTACTCCAAAACCCCTTGGTGAGTCACGTATCACAAATGATCTTTCACTGACACCGTATTTTATAATATTTATTTTCACCCTAACCATCCTACATGTCAAGTATTCGCTTTTATATACGTCAAAAACCATTGCCCCATCGTTAACAACAGTAAGTCAGCATGTTGTACAGGTGTTTCGCTGCAATACAGCCAAGAATCAACAGTGAAGGCACAAATACTAACGAGTAGGAAGGGTTTAATGAATAATAAATTAAAATTAAAATGAATAAATGAAATCACTAATTAATAAATAATGAATAAATGCGTTAAGCAAACTTTCATGGTCAAGGCGTTCACTCCTTAGGAAAACCATGCGGTCACAGACAACCAGCGGCGTGTGAAATACAGGTTTCATAAACGAAACAGACCTTGTGCATCATAACATGCTTCGTGTCATGGTTAACCCCAACTGATTGACACCGACAACAAATGCGCAGAAAAAGGCAGCTCAAAAGTGGAAAGACAGCAAACACATCAGCAGTGCCCGTCGCAAACCGGGTTCTGCAATATTTTGAGCTAGGTACATGGTGTATCACGTGAACCGCAGTCTAGAAAGCAGGAAGAACCAACAATACCAAATCTGAGCAGTGTTCATCTGCCAAGATAGTGCCTCTGTCCCACAAGGTTCACACCACCATAGTTCCGACAGATCGAACAAAGCGAGTCTTTATTGCTAGTGTGTAATACACATAATAAGCACTTAAACTAACGAAAGTTTCTCTTGTGTGTTGTAAATGGTAAAACGACCTGCCCAGGGAAGGCTGTCAAGTGTACTTCAATGCCGGTAGTTTAAGCAGACGATTGAGTCAACCCAGCTGGGAGTCCATTAGCCATGAGCCAGCCAGTAAGAGCGTTGTTGTCTAAGAACCAGATAATCAGTGTGACGGCTGATGACAGTAGAATAGCATGGAACTTTCTACTAGGTCCTTCTGCTGAGCCACACAAGCTTGGTGAAAGCCCTATTCGGCCCCATTCGGCCGGTGGCCGAGTGGTCTGCACGTTTGATCTGCAACCATAACGTCACCGGTTCGAATCCGCGTAGGTATGGACGCCCTCGCGGTATACTCAGCCCGCGCGCGACTGGTGGTGGTCGCGCGACAGCCAATCGCCCTTACGGCGTATAAGCTGACGCCTTTCTTTTTTCTTTTCTATGCTTCTAGGTTGGGGAGTTGCCCATCTGGGATTCGCAATAAGTGCATCGATTATCCGTGCAGTCAGTGGAAATGTAATACTAACGTACTAAACTGAGCATGATCGGTACCACGCTTATGAGCTGCTCATGGCTGCGGAGAGACTGGTTACACCAGAAACCAGTGACAGTCATTGGGCAATGAGATCCGGAAGATCGAAAGGGTGCGGTTTCGGAGTCATAGAAGAAAAACAAATCTAAACATAGGACAGAGGGATCCCACCGGCGAAAAGTAATGTAAATAATTAAGGTACTTCCGGCTTTCTCAACACATCGTATAGTTGCAAAACACACTTATCGGTGCTAACTCAGTCGCTAAAATAGGTAAATTGGTCAGCCTTCCACATCACTAGGGATCAAAGCGCGAGAAGTTAATGCGCATGTCAAATAATGAAATCAGTCAGGAGAGCTTTCCCAGCGCTCTCGAACAGCAAGTTGATTCCCAAAAACAAACACTAATTCCGCACAGGCAGTTAAAAATAGTAGAAGGAAAAACCGTACAAAATAAACCGAAACCAAGTGGACGAAACTACTGTATCCAGTGCAGTTATCCAAGTAAATGACATGCAAGTGAAAGAACGGTTGTACTAACCCATCGAAGACAACAAGATCTCCCTCTCTCGCAAGATGTCTGCTTCAGACATTTCTGAAAGGCGATTGATGTTCTCCTGGTGAATTCGTTTCACCTCACTACATCTAAAGCCAAGACCTGCTCCAGAGATGACTTTAGAGCCAGCCGTTAGTAAGTACTTTAGGCCTTCATCTATAAGCGGAGGAAAACGTGATGTGTAAGGTGTTTCTAATATGTACTTTCTTCTGGACGTGCAGCCTCGATTGCATCTGATACAGCTGCTGCGGAATCCCTACATTTAGTTCGCAGCTTTTGTTCCATCTCAAGCGCGAAGATGCTTTTACGACCCATTGGTGATAAATTCACCTGGCGATAGGTCGCTTTCGGAAAGTCAAAACTTTGCTGAATCAGCTTCGTTTCACAACTAGGTGTAGTTGTAGTTCGTGTATGTTCCTGATTGTGATGGAGTAAACAAAAGGTGGCTGAATTACTTTGATCTCTGCATCCAAAAAGGGATCATCGAAATGCTTAATAGGAATTGCAGAAGATTGAGCTTTAGCCTTTCTGTCAGCTGAACAGAACAAATTAGCAGATATGACTTACCAGCAGATGATGTACATGCAACATATAGGTCTCGCTGCGCATCGGGCAGAGCCATAAATTCGCTCTGCTCTCTGGAGTATAATAATATCGGATGTAACTACATCACTCACAGCAGAAGATCCACTTCATCTCTGGCGACGCGGCTGAATATACGAGCCATCCTGTGCAAAAATGAGCAAAGCATGATGTTAAAGTGGAAAAAGAAAAATGTATCAGCCACGCACGCAGGCACACCGAATACCGACACTTCGCTACCATGAAACCATCACCATTCGCGTGTGTGGGAAGAGTATACTGTGAAGTCGCCCGAGCTTAGGCCAATCCGAACCCGTGACCCCTATGGAACATATGCAGTCGTTCCATCCTTTCGACCACCGGCTCGGTGTCAAAATCATCATCATCATCACCATCATCAGTACACATAAACTGGTGAGAAACACTTCAACTACTGTGCCGCAATACATAAACATGAGACAAACGAAAAAAGTAAAATGCTGAAAATTGTAGAATGCTAAAGAGAAAGGGCGACAACTACTTAGTAACATATTATGTGTCAAGAGGGAGATAAAGATTGGAGGGGGAAGACAAGTGGGATGGGGAGGGAGAACTAGACTCACAACATAAACGTTAATGAGGTCGGATTCTTGCCATGTCAACTAACTCATCCAACCAAAAGTGTTCATCGTCCTCAGGACCACAGACAGGCAGTCAGGACACACCAACCGACACTAGCTTCGAAGTGATGGCTTTCATTTTTATTGATCAAGCCATCGCTTGACCACCCCACCTCTTCTTCCATCCACACCCCCGCCGCACGAACAAGCCACGTCACGGGAGTCGGTGGGCTGGCATGCGCAACACATTGCCTCGCCATTGGAGCATGGTGCTGAGCGGTTTACTCGCGCTTCCCGTGCCAAATACACAACGTCGAACACGCTCATTGCTCGCGCGGTGCTCCCACCAGACATGAACTCAGCTGCGAAGGCAGCGACGAGTACCCTCTTCATAGCTGTTAACTTGATGGAGCAGGTTTCACAACCACATAGTAGAGTTTAACGAATGGCTGCATTGTGAAATGTGCCCTTCAGGGCAAGCGTAATATCGCACTGGTGCCACAGATGGCGGAGATTGGCAAAGGAATTCGAAGTATTGCTATGCGGATTGTGATATCATCTTCCATTCCTTTGGTGCTAATATAGTTGTCTAAATACTTGAATTTCTCCACGACCTCTAGCTGATCTCCACCAAGGGTCAGCGCAGGGGTGGGTCCCTGGCAATTTTGGAGGACTTTGCACCTCCAGGGTGTAAAGCATAGCCCAAAATGACAGACAGTCAGCGTTAATTCGTCCAGTGTCACACGGCAGGTTTTAAAGCTGTTACAGGCCAGAGTCGTCGGCATACTCCAAGTCAAGAAGTAATTTACCTGGGAGCAGCTAAACGCCTTGCAGGCCGTGTCCAGTGAATGCAGTTTTCATAATCTCGTTGATGGAGAAGTTAAAAAGGAAAGGTGACAGCGGATATCCTTGTCTCACGCCGCTGGAGATACTGAATGGCAGCGACAGCTTGCCGTATGCCCTCACTCAGCCCGAACTATGCGCGCACAGTGCTCTTATGACATTTACTTATTTCTCGGGCACACCTTTCCTCAATATACAGTCCAAAATGTCATACCCATCAGCCGAATAGAATGCACCTCCGATGTCAAGAAGCATGACTACGGTGGCTCGCCGATAAATATGGCAGTGCTCTAACGAGTGATGTAGTGTGAAGATGCGATGACTGCAGCCGCGACTACAATGAGACCCGATTTGCTCTTCGCAAATCCGCCTTTCAAGTGTGTCAGCAAATCTATGAAGAACGACAGAGACGAGTATCTTGGAAGCAATTAAGATCAGACTGATCCCTCTATGATTGCCGCACACACACATACACACTATACACGTTAGCTAGAGGTGGGAAACACAGCTGCTGTGCCGCAATACCTAAAAAAGGGAATAAAATGCAATAAGTGAAAGCGAGCCGAGCTACCGGTAGCGGATGGGCATCGTTCCGGTAAGCTACCAGCCGGCTACTAGGCAGCAGACAAAAAATAATTTCCTATGCAAAATTATAAAATGCTAAATAATGAGATTATGGTTGAAGTGGGAGACTAAGATGGATGAGGTGGGACAAAGAAACTCACAGCACGAACGCCAATGAGGTCATCTCCTAGCCATTTCAACAAGCGTATCCAGCCAAAGGTGTTGATCGTCTTTCGGACCCCAACCACGGAGCCGAGACACTCCAACTGAGGCCAGCTTCGAAATGGGAGCCTTCATTCTTCTCAACCAAGTCATCGCTTGGCCACCTCTTTTCTTCTTCCATTCACACCCCCGGTGCGCAAATAACGCACGTTGCGGGAGTCAGTGGGCTGGCATGCGTAACACGTGACCGAGCCATTAGAGCATGGTGCGTGAAATAACGGTGCTGAGCGGTTCATTTCTTTATCCTGTGCCGTAAACAAAGCGTAGAACACGCTCGTAGCTCACGCGGTGTTCTCACCAGATGTGAGCTAAATTGCGAAGGCACCGGTAGTCGAACGTAACTGATTGCCGCAGTCAAAACATGAGCCCCTTTAAAAGTAGGACTATTATCCAGCGGCTCCAGTCGGCTGGGACAGGGACAAAATGAACAAAGTAACCATACAAATTGTGGTTGTCCCGCCACCTTGCGGACCAGGTTATTAGATCAAAGGATGGAAGCGGGTGCTGTTTTAGTTGAGGTGTAAAAGGTGAGCATCACTTGCTCACAAGGCACTGGTGCAGGATTTTATACTCCACACGCTTCCACCATTTGCTACTGTTTTCCGGTCGCGGTAACCGGGAAAAACAGTCGCAGTAAAAGTCTGCGTGTCTAGCGAACCCAAAGTCCTAACACGAACCGAATTCAAACGCATGCATGCCCTGTATCGCGAGGAGAGAAGACATTAAAGTGGTGCGATGGCTTGCGTGTCTCAACGGGTACGCTAGGCGCCATGCTTTATGCGACTTCAGATCCACTCATGCAAAATAGACCAACGGTTGGGGTTATATCAACTCAGGTTCAGCACTCTTTGCCTAGGAGGATCAGAAAAGTCGGTGATCGTATTCCTCTAAACAGCCATGGGAGGCGATATTTTATGCTCGATCGGCGTAAAGTATGAGCACTAAGCGTTGTTTAAGGGTTAGAGAGTATCACCCGAGTTGGATAGCACGTTGCCTCCCGCCCTGAATAGGTGCAAATAGGCTAAATAGATGGAAATAGGTGCAAACCTGTCAGGTCTTACTTGCTGCTGGTCCAAATAGTGGCTGAAAGAAAGCATCAGCAGTAGGCCAATACATCATGCCGACGATTTGCTGCCAAACGATCAGCTCGAAAAAACGAGCCGGTGACCTCTGGAATAGAAAGTGAACGACAGGCGACGAAGAGCAGCGCGAACTGTTTGTTTCCTAAAGGATGCATGTGGCATGCGTCAAAAAGACGTCAAGGGGACTCTGCAACCGCGACCCCGAGCTGGACTTGGTCTCTTTGCGTTCTGGGTGCGGCCACCGAGTCAAAGGTTAGAGGTTGGGCAATTATCTCAAAATAGGTAGCCGAAGAGCACCATCTACTCTCCAGACGCTATCGACATTACTTTTTGTTGCTTTTCTCTTGCGGTTCCCGCAGTACCAGTCTAGTGAGCAACAGACTGCCAATAACTTCGCAATCGGTGATATCGACCCATGTAACTAGTCCATACAAAATCCACACTCCATAATCCATAATCCATACAGATCCGTCAACAGGCTGCGTTAACCCTCGCTATTCAGTTTCTTCGAACTATTATGTGAAGTGTCACTGAAGCATACACACACAATGACAGCATCGAAGCGAATTTTCGACTACCTGGTTCAGAGATGGTTGACAACGACTACACCTCTTGTGTCTATGACGACCCCGAGTTGGCGATAAAAGTGCACATCGTGTCCGAATAGCACTCAGTAAACATGCTAAAGATATATGCACAACTGGATACTAATGAAAAGTCGCACGTTTGTGAATAACCGACCATCTAATGTAGGAGCAAGTCGACGTTCGAACCTGTACAACCACATCCGTCGCAACGAGACTGGACATTAAGGTAGTGCGACGGTTCGAGTACGTTTCTGACACATTGAGCTATACTCGGTGGTGCCCCCAGGCTTCTTGAAAAGTACTTCTACCAGGCTGATCAATGGTTATAAGTCAGATAAACTCTGAGTCCTGTGTGATGGTAAGATGCCACATTGAGCATGCTGATTGTGGATCGAACGGTAGAGCTTAACGATTTTACGCCAACAGTCCGAAAGATGGTCGATCGCTGCAGAGGCGAACTGAAGGATAGTACACCATCGATTTACATCGACGTGAACGAATCTCGAACGCTAACCGGGAATGCAATAGCAAGGATATGTGATCTACATCTGTGAATGGTTCTAATTGATGCGAGATATAAAATAAGCTTGTGTTCTATGAATAATAGATTGCTGATCTTGCTGACCTTGGTTTTTTATTCACGGAGGGCCAACACGACATGGTGATAGAGGTGCTGCCTTTCCATATTCCGCTCGCCGTTGAGGAGCGATCGCTGATCTGCTATAAATGAAAGCACATTGCCGTAAAAACTGGAGAACGTGAAAAGCGAGGTGGATGGAATTCAGAGCGTTGATCAGTTGAATGAATACCCAAGACCATACCAGTTGGCAATGTTCAGATATTCTGTCGGTTGTGAAGCAAGGGGATAGTGGAGGCCTAGAATCTCTGGGACCAGGAACCGGAACTTTCGGAAATAATCCAGCGATCTGAATACTGTGAAGGTAGAAGTTACAGTTCTACTTATTGCCTCCGAACGGCCGAGATTCGTTCAATGGGAAGTGAAGGCTATTAAGAGTCGCAAGAACTTTTACTAAATAACTTGTAAAATCATGAAGATCATCAATGCGTTTCTGCAATACCCCCAAATATAGCATGATCAGTACCGCCAAGAAAAGTTTCAAGTCAGCGTGAGTACACTGTCTGAGAAACACTCCATCGGAGTGGAGTGCAGTGTAATACGGAGTAGTCACGGAAGGTGGAACGACTTTATGATCCATCGGAAAGAGAATGTCGTGATGAAGGCTTTCAA